GAGGCATAACCAAGTTGTTAATTTATTCTCATACGAGTTTTGATCAGAATTGCAAAAGTAAAGGCGCATCATGTAATATAAGAAACCTCGAAAAATAAGATACTCGAAATTTCAACATGTTTTATCAAAATTTTATAACATTCCCATTTTAACAAGAGTAATGTTTTTCGAGTCAAGTTTACTTGACCTTATTTAAGCCCCCGTTTGGCCCCATTATTTGATATTATAATTTTTGAAATCACTAAGGGTCGCCTAATCTGCTTACAACCATAGATTGCCTCGACGTAAATGTAGCTCAGGCCATAGATGAGCCCCATCCCACTTGCAATCATCATGGAATCACTTTTAGTTTATACTCGCCATATGTGAAACGAGCCTCCAATGGAGGCGCTGTGTGGATGTTCTACCAACCCAAGGCCATGTCATAAAACCTCGAAAACATGAGAACTCTAACCTCCGTATAACATAGGGTGAATATCTTCTAACACCAAACTTGGCAACATGCTTGGCTTTCAACAAGGGTGGACCCCGACATTTTCTATTGTGAGGTCAGAAATTAATGATGCTCGAGCCTCCAAGGACAGTAGGCTTTAGTCACTGGAGCTCGAACGTCTTCTTTTGGCTTTGCCAACACTCCAATGACGTTTACAATAGTGTAGTACAAATTATATATTTAACCTACTCTTAATACTAGGCAAACACATGCCTCAATTAAAATCGACAATCACAACACAAACCCCAATGATAAGGTAGGGGTGCCATTTTTATATCCAACAATCATGCTTGGTTTCCTTGCAGTACCAAGAATCAATTCTTCTATCAATCGTAAAAATGTCATATTGAGACTCGAGACAACAACTCCTGGCCTAACTAGCACTCGCGTGTACTCAATGTGACCATGAACGCAGCCATTTAATGCGATTAATGTCATCCTCGTGCTATTATTTTTTGTATCCGAGTCAGAATCATATTCGAAAATTGAAACTATGACATTCTAACCTTCAT